CCAGCTGACAGTGGCAGGATTACCCATGGGCCCCAACCTCTCACAGTAGAGACAGGGACACTGAGATCTTGAGAGCAGGAGGGACCTGAAGCACCCGAGCTGCCCATGCCTGAGTTGGTTTGGAAGTCCAGCTACAGACTCGGCAGCTGCACCTGGTTCAGTTCTTGCCACAGCCTGGACCGATGGCCATGGATAAATGAGGCTTCCCCCAGAGCCAATGGCAGCGGACAAATCAAGGTAGAAGTGATGTCAGGCAGCTTAGCTTGCAGGAGCCTTTCCAGAGCCTCAAGGTGGCACCTGGCACTTCTGTAGGGGAAGGAAGTGCTTCTGAGTGACAATGTGTTCATTCTGCTTCTGGAGTCTAGAGGGCCCAGAACCCCTGTGGTGTAAACCCTATCCACACACATAACCACACTCTAGAGACAGCTCCAAAGGAATCATTGCTGGCACCTCTGTTTACGCCTTTATCAGCAGGACCTGCCTGGCCCAGACAGAGGGTAATCCTGGCAGTCAGCTGGCATCGATGAGTTGTTCCCCAGTTTGCTTGCTCACAGTCACAGATGCACCAGGTTCTGGGGCAGGTGGCCCTAAAAGGAGATAAACCAGGTCTTTATCAACAAGTATGGCCCAAGTATTAATTCAAATCTTTAATACATAAAGACAGCATTCCCTTGAAACTCTGCAGTCAAGTCTGAGTGGTCCCTCTTAGCTCTCTTCTCTCTCCTTCCTGCTGGCCACTCTGTCTGATGCCTCCCTGTCCTCCATTATAACCATTATAACCGTAAAGTAACTGGGGACAGCTGGATCTCAGCGGTTTGAAACAGGATTAAAACTGAGCAGTGGAGCAAAGAGAACTTGAGAGTGCTTTGGGGCTCAGGAAGCTCGTGACTGGGTTATCAGCACAGAGAAGGAACAGCCAGAGCCTGGAGGCATTGCCCTGCCCTAACAAGTACCCACTCCCCCCCCACCCCTGCTGGCCTGATGCGGGCAGACCTGAGCCCTCCAGTGGTCAGGCACCTCCCCTGCCCTTCACTGTTGTAAGTACAGATTTACAGGAGCAAGACCCGTTGGTGAGGAGCAAGCAACGCAGGGATGGCTGAGAGCACTGGCTTGATGGAAGACTGCAGACCAGGCCTGGCCAAGGGGCTACCCTATTGCCTACTTCAACTCAGCACATCCTATGCTGGCCTGGGCTAGGCAGCGAAGTCGTCAGCATGTCCTCAAAATGCCACTCACTATTAGTCTGTGCATCTTAAAATACTTACATCAAACCAATTCTTCACCTGTATAAAGACAGATATTCATGAGGATTCCTTGATGAAGCCCATTAGTCTGTAGGCAAACCTCAAAAGCTAGTCATTTAAAAAATTATCAGTCAAGTCAAGCTCTGAGGGTGAGAAAGGAGGTGGCTTCTCCTCTGGCTTTTCCTTCACACTCAGGATGTAAGTGCCCATGGATTTTGGTTTCTACTTCAGGAGGTGAGCGGGTAAGAGCCCTCAGCTGAGAGTCATGCTGCTCATCTGCTCCAAGAATAGAGCCTGACTGACTCCATGCCCCACAAGGCACTTGCTCGAAAACGAGGAGAATTCGGGATGAATGAGCCCCAGTCAGCCATCAGATAAGAACTTCTTGTTCCGTTCTTTAGAAGCCAGACACCACGTGTCCTGAGGGGGGAGGCCAGAGAGTGTGCTGGCTCCTGTGACACTCCCTTGCCCACCCCAAGGCACCCTCTGAATGCATTCCTCAAAATCACCACTGTGCTAGAGGTTGGGAATATTAAGGAGTGAGCGAAACGATATCGAGAAGTTATCTTTCACTGATTTAAAGACACACAATGTTGGGGGCTACTCTGGTTGGCAGCGAAGGACTCAAAATTTCCTTTAACAGCATCTGCCTGGATGTTATTAACTTATCGTTATTAACTTGTTATTATTTCACTTTTCTCCTGATATGAAAAAAAAACCCTGACAAAAGCCACTGAAGGAAGGGTTTCCTTTCACCCGCAGTTTTAGATGCAGTGGGGAAGGCAGTGTGGTGAGTCGTGACTCAGGCTGTGGCAGCAGGGCCCTGAGGCAGCTGGTCACACTGCACCCACAGCCAGGAAGCAGGGATGAGTGCTGGCACTCAGCTCAGTTTCTCCTTTTAATGACTCCAGCCCACGGGATGGTGCTCCCCACATTCAGGGTGAGTCTTCCTCTCTCCATTAAACCTCTCTGAAAATGTGCTCGCAGACATGCACAGAGGTGTATCTCCTTGGTGATCCCAAATCCAATCAGGTTTGACAATGAGGATTAATCATCACAGCCTTGATCCGGTCAGTGGTGGTGCATGCCTTTGATCCTAGCACTTGGGAGGCAGAGGCAGGTGGATTTCTGAGTTCAAGGCCAGCCTAGTCTACAGAGTGAGTTCCAGGACAGTCAGGACTATACAGAGAAACACTGTCTCGAAAAACAAAAACAAAAAAAAAAATGTAACTCAGGTTAACCTCCAAGCAGGGGTCCTCCTGCTCCACACTAATGAGTGCAGAGGCTAGGGGGCACAATTAACCTCCATGTGGCCAAATTAAAGTACTTCCCTGACACAGAGCCAGTTCTTCTCAAATGTTTGTACTGACTGCTTCTAACTGGTGAGTGTAAAAGGTGAATCTTGGAATTTGAAAGCAAGTTAGAGACTTCCAGGTTTGCAGGCTCCTCATGAGATCACCTGACTGGTCCTCTTCTCCATGTTCCCAAGAAATTAAGTCAAATCCTTAAGGAAGACGTGCTGGGGTCTCTCGGTGTTAGTCAACTTGCAGTCACCCAAAGCAGGTCTTTCTAGCATCTAAACTCTGTCCTTCCTAGAATAATATGGTTTCTGATGCCAGCTGGACTAGGAGTCACCCATCAGCCTCCTTACATGGCCTGCTGCAAACAATGAGGAGCATAGAAAGGACCTGTGTACCAGGGTCAAACAGAGTTACTGTCTCCATTGAGCTTAACAGTAACATACATAACCTCACCAACCACTAAGAAGGATGAAGAAACTTCAGAAGGGTGGAAGTAGGGAGTGACCAGCAAAGAAATAGAGCCCTCTGAGTGGTCAGAGAAGCCCTCCATTGGGAGGTGCTGCTGTGCCATGTTCTCAGTGAAGATGCATGAGGGAAGGTCCCCCATTGTCAATGATGCTTCTAGTTTTATACCCAGATATCGTGTCACATCAATATGTCCTGTGAGAACCATGTGACATCTCTGTACAAAAGCTCAATAAGAGAGCTTACCTTCCTCTGCTCATCTACAGCATGTCTTTCATTGACCTGCCTCACACCCACTGCCCACCCTACAGAGCATACAGATCAATGCTATCAGTATTACCAAGGGAATAAACAGCCCCCTCTCCTGCAGTATTGCACCCACAGGGATCTGTGGACCAGCTATACTAGTCCACTCTAACATGCCCAGAAACTGCCTGAGGAGCTTGCCAATGTCTTCAGGGTTGGGTAGACCTCCGGAGTCTTTATCCTAACCAGCTTCTAAAGGAGGCTGTCAGCACAGACAACCCTTAGAGAAATGAAGGTTCTGCCATCATCAGGTTCTGCCATCTTTCTTTCTGATATCTGAATTTTTCTTTCTGTATTCTTTGACATTGACATGAACAAGGATGTTGGCTTTGGAGAACTTCAAAATATGAAGTCTGAGTCCATGTGAAGGCACAAATACATAATGCTAAAACTCAGGAGGCTGAGGCGGGAGGATTGAGTTTCATTGCTGGGTTATACAGCAAGACTATGCCTTAATACAATGAATTCGTCCATCAAAATCCAGTTTGATTTCCATGCTGTTGGGTCATCTAGAATCACTGCACACCAGTATACTCAGGGGCTCACTGCTCTGATTACAACTGAACTGTTCAGAACCCTTGAGAGTGCTGGCTATTGGCATTGTCAGGTGACCTTAACATTCACTGGGCACAGGAATTCCCACTGGGCAGTCCCTCAGCTGATCTCTCCCAGTGAGCAAAGTGTGAGCCCCTAACCATCTTACCCATGTAGGCGTTTCTTTCTGTAGTGTCACTGTGGCCATGCGTGAATATTCCTGGAACAAACACATTTGGCATCATGCTAGTATGACGTTCCCAGGGGTCTTTCTACCATGTGACAGCCCTAAGCAAGAACCCCTACCCCCAGAAGACTGTAAACCTTTCAGATAGTAAGGGATCATCTCAAACCTTTCTTTTCCTAAGGGACTGGCTACTTTCATGGCAAAATGCTTGGCAAAGCCAACCTAAGGAGGTAAAGATTGCTCTTTGTCACACAGAAGACACGGGTGACAAGTATGGTGGCAGGAGCATGAGGCAAGTGGTCACATCGACTCCAAAGTCATGAAGCGGAGAGAGATGATTGCTGGTTCTCAGCTCTTTCTCTTCTGTCCTTTCTTCTTCAGCAAGGGACCCTAGCCTGTGGGATGGTGTTGCTCACACTCAGGGTGGGTCTTTCCTCCTCAGCCAAACCTCTTGTAGATACGTCCAGAGGTGTATCATCTAGATAATTCTAAATCCATTCACATTGACAGCGGAGTAGCCATCATGCCTACATACGGAGCCAGTCTCCAGAGTACCCTTGCTCTCTGAGTCCAGCACCATCAGTTCTGAAGATGATGGGAAATGCCCCTTGGGACTCGGAGCTGGAGCAGGTTTAGACATGATTTCCTCTTTTGTGAGCAAATGTAATGAGGCATTCATCTTACATAGAAGACTGAGGGTGGCTGTATGCCTGCCCCAGGACCAAGAACTAACTTCTTACATGTCTGCTTCCATTCATTTAACTGTGCAAAATTTATTAAATGGCCCTAGCCCCCAGACAGGTATTCATAGATTTAAAAAACTATTTGGACCAATGCATATTCAAGGGTGTTTTTGTCAGTCTGCCTCATACTCTGTGACGAATTGGTGTCCTGGGGTGCTTCCTGGAGTTGATCAGCTGTGGCCCTGTGACTTTCCAGGTGTGGCCTGGATGAGACGCAGAGATGGGGAAAAAGCTGGACCTTTCCAAGCTCACAGATGAGGAGGCTGAGCACGTGTGGGAAGTGGTTCAGCGGGACTTCGACCTCAGGAGGCGAGAAGAAGAAAGACTCCAGTAAGTGTCTGGCTGAGCCATGGAGATTAGGCATCCTGATGTTCCAAGTTGCTGTCACCTCTGATGTCATAGTCGGGTATGTGGCCAGAGGAGCAAGGTCAATAGAGCAGATGGGAATCCATGATCTGGGAACTGGCTTTCCTTTCAAGCTCTGGCTTCTTCCTTATGGAAATGAGGTTTTCTGCTCTCTGAAGTGAGAATTTCACAACTTGACTCCACTTCTGGGTGCTGTCTCATGAGCCATGTGGTCCTGAGGCCCCACCTTGAAGAGAGAAAAGGAGCTAACAGTGTTACTTAGTGAATGTGGTTTGGCTCTGAAGAGATTCAGGCAGAGGTTGACTTCCATCCTGCTCAATGATGTGAGGGGCACCCCTCTTCCTGGGTGAGCCCAGCTAGTGTACGTCACTCTCTCCAACATCTGTGCCAATAGTTACCTCATTGCTTACATCTCCCTTTGCCTCATTTCTGTCTCTTCCCACAAGGAAAGGCAATTGACCTGTCTGGTTCTCTTTTCTTCCCTCTGTGTCTTTTGTGGGTTGGGTCAGTGTGTGGAGGAGTGAGGCCGAGACCCCGAGCAAAGGAAGGCAACTAAAGGCAAGCCAGAAAAACCAAGGGTTAAGAGCACAGGGCTCTGGGGATTAGCATGTGGAGGTCTTGAGATTAGGGAGTACGGCTCATCAGGCCCCAGAATTCAAAGCTGGGAAAAGAGTGTTGTAAGAGATTGCCATCTTCAAATAAAGGCCAGACATAGTATTTGGTGATTTGTTGTCTCCATCCTCCTCCTCCTCTTCTTCCTCCTCCTCCTCCTCCTCCTTCTCTTCTTCCTCCACTCCTCTTCCACTGCTCTTACTTCTGATGGTGGTCTCACCATATAGCCCAAGCTAGCCTCAAACTCAAGATCCTCCTGCCTCAGGTTCCTCAGTGTTGGAATTATAGGGTGCCCAGCTCAATTGTCTATCTTTTTAGTCTCCTTTAGTCTGTAAACTACACACACACACACACATACTCCACACATACACAACACACATATACAACACACACTCCACACATACACAATACATCACACACACAACACTCAGGCACACACAGAGAGACACACACTGCTCTCCCCACCCCCTTTCCTTTGAAGCATGTTGTAGGAGCTGACTGCTTAATTCCATAGTCTCCCACAATCTGACGTCTCCCAGCCATGTCCCTCTGACCTTTGCAGTAAGAGCCCCTCGTCCCACTTTCCTAAACTGAGAGAGAATTCCAGAGGTGTGTCTCTTATCTTTCGTGCATTCCATATCTACGTGAGTCACCTGGGTCTTTAAAAAGCTTCAAGTACAGAAAATATAATCATGTCTTATTATTTTTATACTACACAAACATAGCATTGCCAAAGCAAACCTTGGGGAGAACAGCCAGCTAAGTCTCCACTTGTGAGCTCCTCCCTCCTGGGACACCCCCATCTTGGACCTGAGTTGCCTGGCACTATGTACAAAGAAGGAGACTTCAGCAGGACTGCCAGCCCACACTCTGCCTTGTCTCACGCATGAGTATTGGAAGTCCTCTCAATATCTCTTCCTCTGTGTGTCAGCTTCAGCACTCAGCCGAGTCTATGGTGTGTCGGGAATCACTGGACAGACCCAAAACCCACGAGGAGCAGTCAGCTGATGCACAGCCAGCCTCAGTGACTCGTGTCCTTGGGAAGGGAGTAACTGAAATAAACTTAAATGACACATCCTGTCCAAAGGGTACAGCCCACTAACCAAATATTAGACGTGCTAACCTTCCCAGAAAGGCAAATAGGTGGTAGTGTGCAGTTTTGATCTCTGCAAATATACAGGAATTCCTGAGGTAATCCATGAAAGACCTGTCATCATGAGACACAGACAGGTGGACGGGTGTATTTAAAAATCAGCAGAAGGTGCTGGAGAGATGGCTGAGCAGTTAAGAGTACTTGTTGCTCTTCCAGAGGAACCGGGTTTGATTCCCAGCACCCGCATGATGGCTCACACACAACCGTCTGTAACTCCAGTTCCAGGGGCTCCAATGCCCTCTTCTGGCCTTCATGGGCACCACACATATGCATGTGGTTCACAGACAGACACTGAGATTAAACAGTCATACACTTGAAATAAAATTAAAATTAAAAATCAGGAGAAAACCAAGGAAAGTGAAGTCACCCTCTGCTGGTCTGCAAACAATAAGAGACAGGGCAGCAAGGAACAATGGCTGACAGAGAAGTCATCGGTCTGCCCGGGCTGGAGATTAGCATTGGTGTGAGACGCCAGCAGGATTCAGCTTTGCCTCTGCCTCTTGCATACACACACACACACACACACACACACACACACATCCTCCACAGCAGTTTCCTTTCCACCTTGTCTTCAGGAAGGCTGCCACGCCCCTTCCCTTACATCCCTGACACAGGTTCTCCTTCCTACCTTCAAGTCTCCACCTCCACCCCTTACTCTTTTCTTTCTGTTGCCTCCTGCAGCAGGCTCTGAGGGTCACGCTTCCTTTAAGTGATTCATCACCATCATCTGGTCTAACCTTGGATTCCCTCCTCAGTCTGGGAATTCAGCTGCCAGTGCAAGGCAAAACATTAGCTGCCTCTGTAGCACAGTGTTTGTGTGCCGACTCTCTGGAAACACTCCCCCAGTATACTTTGCCTCAACAATGCTGGTCTCTTCTTAATCACGGCTAGTTTGTCAGTTCCAGCTGACCAGCATCAAGTGTCCCAGCAAAGCAAAGGTTTCCTTCACTTCAGTAGTTCTGCTATCTTGTTAATCCTAGTTCATTCTTCAGCCCCAGCTAACCAGAACCACAGTACCTTGATTCAAAAGAACAAATGGCCCCCAATATTCTTTAAATTCCCTGTGAAATTTCACAAGACAGGCCACCATCTCCTGCATTTCCTTAAACATTAGCCCAGGCCTCCATTTTCTGCATTTCCCTTAAACCTTCATACTTCCAAACTCCTCCGGAATGGCTCCCGAGTTCTCAACACTCAGTGGCTTTTAGTTCCTAAGCCCTTCTCCAGACTTCCCCAAAACATGGTCAGGTCTGTCACAGCAGTGCAATACCCCACTCCTGGTAACAACTTGTCTTAGGGTTTCTATTGCTTGATGTAACACCATGACAAAAGTAACTTGGGGGGGTATTTGACTTACGCTTCCACAGCACTGTTCATCATTAAAGAAAGTCAGGACAAGAACTCAAACAGGGCAGGAACCTGGAGGCAGGAACTGTTGCAGAAACCATGGAGAGAGAGAGAGAGGTGCTGCTTACTGGCTTGCTCCCCATAGCTTGATCAGTCTGTTTTCTTATAGAACCCAGGACCACCAGCCAAGGGATGGCACCACCCACAATGGGCTGGGCCCTCCCTTATCAACCACTAAGAAAGTGCCCCACAGCTGGATCTTATGAAGGTATTTTCTCAATTGAGGCTCCCTCCTTTCAGATAACTCTAGCATGTGTCAAGATGACATATAAAGTAACCAGTACAAGTAGCTTGTCACTCCTGTTCAGTGACAACGTGTTGCAATGTCTGAAATGTTAGGTGGAGCCAAGACTGTAGACAGACACTGTGTCTTATATGTCCCTACCTGAGACACAATCGAGTGCATAGACTAGGGACAGGAAGAGATTAACAGCACAGCTAAGAATAGAATAGAATAGAATAGAATAGAATAGAATAGAATAGAATAGAATAGAATAGAATAGAATAGGTTATAAAAATACATCACAAGGACTATAAAAATTAAATACCAAAAACCAAATCGCGGATTACTAAGTGGGCTAATGAATTTAATAGAGAGAGCTCTCAAAAGAACTGCAAACACAGTAGATATATCAAAAGGGTGATCAGCATCCTTGGGCATCAGGGAAATGCAAACAAAACTTTGAGATCCCATCTCACCCCAGTCAGGCTACCACTGAGAAAACAACTGACAGCAAGCACTGGTGAGGATGTGGAGAAGAGGAACCCTGGTTCACTGCTGGCAAAAATATAGACTGGTTGCAGCCAATGTGGAAGGCAATATGGAGGTACCAAAAAAATAAAAATAATAATCTCAGCTAGCTGTGCCAGGCACAGGCACACATCCAAAGGATTCTCAGTCAGCACCACAAAAACACTTACACATCCTGTTTACTGCTGCAGTGTTTGAAATACCCAGAAATGGAGCCAGTCTAGATGACCATCAACGGATGAATCAGTAAGGAACACGTGGGCTATGGACACAGTGGGGTTTTATGTGCTCTATGGACACAGTGGGGTTTTATGTGCTCTATGTATACAGTGGGGTTTTATACAGCCATGAAGAAAATTGAAATCATGTTGTTTGCCAAAAAAAATATGGATGCATCCATAAATCTTGATGTTAAGTGAAATCAGCCAGACTCAGAAAGACAAGTGGCTACATTTTTATGGATCTATGTGTGTTTACATGTGTGTGTTTCTAGGTCACAAAACTAGAAAAGGGATCAGGAGAGGGGAAGAAGAGAGAGAACTTTTTTTTTGTTTATTTGTTTGAGGCTTGGGGGAGGGGGTTGCTTTCTTGTTTTTGTTGTTTTTTCTTTCTTGTTTTTGTTGTTTTAGGTTTTCGTTTGGTTGTTTGGTTGGTTTGTGTTTTTGCTTGTTGGCTAGTTTATTTTTGTTTTATTGAGACAGGGTTTCTCTGTGTAGCTCTGACCATCCTGGACCTTGCTCTGTAGACCAGGCTGGCCTCAAACTTAGAGCTCTGCCTGCCTCTGCCTCCCAAGGGCTGAGATTCAAGGTGTGCAGCATTATGCCTGCCTGGCTGGAGGAGGCGATCTTAAAGGAGGTGGGAAATAGAAAGGGTGATAGATTCATGAAAAAGAAAGGGTAAGTAGGAACTAACTGGCAAAAGGAAAGAAAGCAGCTTTAGAGGAGGAGGGGAAGACACAGATGAGAACGATCATGGCAAGTGTGAAGAAGCCATGATGAAGACCAATACATTGTATTCTAACTCAAAACTGTATAAAAACAATGTAGCATTTAAAATTCAGACTATTCCATGTCTCTATATCTGTCTCTCTGTCTCTGTCTCTCTCTCTCTCTCTCTCTCTCTCTCTCTCTCTCTCTCTCTTTCTCCTATGCACACCCTTCTTTTCCTTGTTGGCCATTGAAGTGGGCCATTGCCACTTCAAACCAGATGTCACCTCCCAGCACCCATGGAAACTCCAAACTTGAAAGTCTTCAGAAGACAGTGGACCCAGTGTCTTGCTAATTTTTTCTCACTAAGGTCAAATTACCGTTATACCATCTAAAACTAAAAAATATTATGTTTGGCAGATAGTCCGTGAAACTCTGGAACAGAGGGGATACATTCATTGGGATCTGGGGGACATTCTGTCGTCTTTGCAGCTGGTTCCACTTGGCAGGCTCACCAGGAAGCTGGGTTACTTCAAACCAGATAGTCTCGAAGAACAGGTTTCTCCTGGAACTTCCGGGTACAGGGTGATTCCTGTCTGGAGCCTCTCCAAGCCAAGCACCTCAGTCAGGCTCTGCAGGAAGAGTCCTGGCCCTCAGCTCTGTGCTGGCTGGAAGACACCCTAAACCACTTGTTGAGGAAATGTCACCTGACCTTGCCCTCAGGATTCTGTTACCCACAAGAGAGGGCACAAGGTTCAATCCTAAATGCCACAGAAATGCTTAACGGTAGTGCCATTTCTGTGAAAATCATAGGTTTTGTCTCTGGCCTACCAAAATTGTGTCTGAGTTAAGCTCAATCTATTTGTCCCCTCCAGGAAGAGAGCGAGATGGCTTTCTGCCATGAGCCTGTGGGCGCTTTCGCTCTGCTTTGGCCACTGTCCTCTGCGTATGGAAATGCTTCTCTGCCTGCGTCATTTCACACTGCGTGCATCCACACATCCGTTGTAGAAACAAGTTGTCTGCTATATTTCTTATCCCAATTTTTTTTGTCCAAGGGGACTGAAGGGCAAGATACAAAAGGAGAGCTCCAAGAGGGAGCTGCTGTCGGACACAGCCCATCTGAATGAGACCCACTGTGCCCGCTGCCTGCAGCCCTACCGGCTCCTCGTGAACAGCAGACGGCAGTGTCTAGAGTGCAGCCTCTTCGTCTGCAAAAAGTGCAGCCACGTCCACCCAGAAGAGCAGGGCTGGCTCTGCGACCCCTGCCACGTAGCCAGGTGAAGAGCCTGGAGGCCCTTAATGGTGTCTTAGCCTGGTGTGTCCCTTTGGTGGGTCTTGCTGGGGGGGGAAGGGGAAGACACTGCCTCAGGCTGCACCGGTCTCCCCCTTAGAGTCTTGAAGATTGGCTCCCTGGAGTGGTACTACCAGCACGTGAGAGCTCGCTTTAAGCGTTTCGGGAGTGCCAAAGTGATCCGGTCTCTTTGCGGGCGCCTGCAGGGTGGAGGTAAGGAGGGGGCTGGCCTGAGGATGTTCCAGGCACGCATTAATGTTGAAGAACCCTTAGAAATGGGTTGGTTGGCACCTATGGGAGGTGCAGGCACAGTTCTCTGGTGCCCTTTGTGGGGTTCCAGCCCCTGGGGTTTCCAGCTTGCTGCAAACATCCCCAATATTTGAAGTCATTGGTGTGTGTGTGTGTGTGTGTGTGTGTGTGTGTGTGTGTTTCTAAAATTTTACACATGTTGAGGATCAGGGAGCTGTCTGTCACTTAGAAGTTTACAGAGTTTCAGGAGTTTGGGCCATCTTGAGAGCTGTGGGAATTCAAGCTTCCTGACTGCAGTAACCTGCCAATTTCAAAGCTGCCGCCATTACGACCAGGAGGTGGCGCTGTGGGACAACAGCTGCAACAACAAAAACCAACATCTTAGAAGCGCTTCCTTGCAGGGATTCTCAGCAAGCCAGCTGAGGCTGATCTCAACCTGGTGATGCAAAGGCTTCACTCTCCCTTGCTGACTACAGTACGAAGAAAGTTAGGGCACTTTCTTCTTTCTTACTCTTTTTAAGATTTTTTTTAAATTAATCATTGCGGGGAGGGGCTGCAGGGGGTGGGGCTGTACATATGAATTCAGGTTCATGGATGTTAGAGAAGTACATTAGGCAGTCTGGAGCTAGAGTTACAGGTACTTGTGAACACCACCACCACAAGCCGGTGTGGGTCTTGGGAACTCTCAGAACGTGTGTGCTTTTAGTAGCGAAGCCATCATACTGGCCTCCTAGAGGGAACTTTATTAAAAGACAAAGGAAAGACCAACTTAAATAGCCAAGTACTGTTCTGAGAGCTGAGCCAGCCTGGACACAGTGTCTCTGCAGACCTTCAGAGTGAGGCTTGTCTCCGAGGCCTTCCACAGGCTCTTTGTGAGGAGCAACCTTGGTGTGAGAAAGAAAATGATTCTCACCTGTTGCTAGGTACCTAGCTGTCTCCTCTGTACCAAAGCCCTATATTTGCAGCAGGTTTTCCTGGCTAAGTGGCAGGGTTTATTTTCTGTCAAGAGTGGGGCCTCAACTGCCTTCCATCTTTGTGGTCTGTTTGTTTGTTGTTTTCTTTTCTCCCAATCAAGTGAAGTGAGAGCGTTCCTGTCTGAGGCAGGAACATGGAAAACCATCTGGACTTGTGTAACATGATTGACCAGACAGGTGATTAGGGAGTCTGGAACCAATATCCCAGTGTAGAGAGAAGTCAGAAGCCATATCTAAAAGGATGGCTGAAGGGGAGAGGTGGCTTAGCTTTTGATGCCACCCCAGAAAGTCAGCTGATACCTCCAAAGCCTGAATGCTTACTTCTGCTGACACAGACACCCCTCCCCCTTCTGCCACCCTGCAGTGCAGCTCTGCCCCATGCTCTCTGCAGGCCCAGGCTCAGACTGAGCAGGCACAGGTGGCAGTGGAAAGGACAGAGTCAATCTGAGGGCCTCCCAGGTCCATAACCCAGCAGCACAGCTGTACAAGATCAGAAAGCAGGTCCCTCTGTCCCTTAAGCAGATGGTTGTTCATAGGCAGCAGAGTGACAAGCAGGATGAGGGATGAAAATGTTTGTAAAGTGACCAAGGCCACTGTAGCCTAGGACACAGCCTGAGAGACCATAGCCATCCAAGCCCTGGCTCATCTTAGAACAGTACACTTCTGTGAAAGTGGCGAAAATGTTATGCAGGGTTTCTGGATGAATCCATGGGTTGGTGGTAGACAGAAGGATGGGGAAGACAGATGAGAGGGTATATGGTGGTGAACCGGCCGGCTGGCTGGGTAGATGGATGTATAAATAGAAGAAAGAGAGGAAGGAGAGGAGAGAGGGTATCTTAGTTTCCTATTGCTGTGAAGAGACACCATCTTATAGAAGACTTTATTTGGGGTTTATGGTTTCAGAGGGTTAGAGTCCGTGGCCATCATGGCGGGGATCATGACAGCTGGAAGGCAGGCAGACTTAACACTAGGGCAGGGGCTGAGAACTCACATCTTGAGACACAAGCTAGAAGGAGAGAGAGAGAGGGAGAGACGGGGGGGGGGGGAACTGGGGTCATTCCCATTCAAACCTCCATAGATAATAGTTGGCAAGTGAGTGGAAAAATGAATCCAGAGACAGTTAAGCGGTCTCCCATTTTGGCCCCTCTGTGGGTGAAGCCATGCACCTGTAAATTGCAGGTGGGTCTGAGCCAAGCTTGGAAGAAGGAAATGGAGACAGTGAGCTGACGGATGAGGATGGAGACCTGGACACAGAGGCCCGAGACCAGCCCCTCAACAGCAAAGTAAGTCTGTCTCCATAAGTCCCCGAAGTCTCCTGTCCGTCCTCATGCCTCCCAGCTCCCTTACACCTCTCCCAAATATGCCATAGCTCAGGCATCTGCATTTCTCCCTTGCTCCCACCCCATATCCGCCTGGGAACCCCTCAGTGGATCCTCATCCCTAAGCATGGGACTCCCTGATCCCTAAGCCCCTCCCCCCAGCTCCTCTCTCCTTCTCAAGCCCCTCCCTCCTGAGCTCTTTCTTAAACCTCTCCCTGCTCCCTAAACTCCTTCCTCCTAAGCCCCTCCCTCCTGAACCCCTCCCTCCTGAGCCCCTCCCTCCTGAGCCCCTCCCTCCCGAGCCCCTCCCTCCCAAGCCCTTCACTCCCGAGCCCCTGGCTCCTAAGCTTGGGAGCCCAGTGTTCACTTCAGAACTCCAAAAACTATATACAGATAGACAAAACCCTCTGCAAGGCCAGTCTTGACTGACTGGCATTCTGGGACACCCAGGTGCTATGACAGAGTGTACAGGAGGGCAGACCTGTATCCAGATGGCTCAAGGGACCATGAATGGAAGCAGCCCTTGCACCTTTCAGATTATAAGCCTTGTCTTTATCAGTGGTTATTTCTCTTCTCATTTAGCTTCAATTATTTTGGGTGGTGGAGACAGGCCAGGCAGTGCCTTGGTTTGGGGACAGGATGACAATGATGACTCAGAGAGAGGGAAGTAGACTGAAGTGTGTGAGTTGGGCCCTGAAGCCCCTGAGGGTGACAGGGCCGTAGAATCAGATCTGAGAAGTGCTCCAGGCACACAGTCTTCTTTTGCACAGGATCCAATTCACACCGTTTGCTGAGCACACGGCATGCATCCCAGCCAATGTCTAGAACATTCTATAATAAAACGTACATTTAAAGGATCAGAATAATTGTACTTGGGGGGTGGGGTTCATAAAGTAATAATCATACATCTAAAGGAAATGGAGTGGTCACCTGATCCACCCCATAGTCAGAGAGCTACATATACCTAAAGTCCCAGGATGCCTTCTGCGTGGGGTACCTTCAGCCCTGCAGCAGCTCCCACCCTAGACAGCACCTGGCAGGCCAAGAACTCGTGTTCCTTAGAGCACAGCTAAGGCCCTGTGTACAGTGTCACTTCTGATGAGGTAGACACAGTGAGCCCCTGGGCCCCACAGCCACCTCAGGGCTCCTTTGGGTCAATTTCTAGCTAGAGATGGGTATCCCCAGGGGTGGCTGCCAACTGTCTGGAGGCTGAGTGTGGGGCTGGGGTCTGACCAGTCTTGCTTATTTTACACCCAAGAAGAAAAAGCGCCTGCTCTCCTTCCGAGATGTGGACTTTGAGGAAGACTCAGACCACTCAATGCAGCCTTGCAGCCAAACCCTGGGCCTGTCCTCAGTCCCTGAGTCTGCACACAGCCTGCAGGTCAGTGTGTGCTGCTGTCTGCCCATCCCCCTCACCCCTCTTAGGAACCTGAGTTAAAGGGGAAGTACTTGGACCCCAGTTGGAGTTGCACATGGAGATGCAGTGTCATAGAGCCAGGTGGCCACATCAGCCTCTCAAGGCAAGGGGACTATTGGGGACAGGCCATGGGAGCATAGGACTCAGAAACTTCACATCCTCCCAAGATCAGCGTCCCAGGGTAATGAACAAACCCTTGGAGAGGTTGGGGCAGACAGGAATGTAAGGCCAGGCAGGTGAGTTCGGAGCCTGGAATGTGGTCTTTGATGCTCAGCCTAGACATAAGGACTCAGGAGGGCAGAATGGACAATAGCATCCACCAAGGAGCTAGTCAGGACCCAGGACTGAGCTATGCTGGTGCCTTACCTGGACCTCATGCCCTTCAATGATCCAACTATGCTAGTCTCAGAAGTGAAAACGCCCCTCTTATGCACACTGCTTGCTAGCCACATGACCTTGGTCCTTGGAAATTTGTTGAAACCTTATCCCCTCATTTCTGCCTTTTGAGGTTGATTTTAAGATGAGAGTCCATGAGACACTCTGATAGACAGTAAAAACAGTTATGGTTGTTAGGCCATGGCAGGCTGCTTTGTTGTGAACCCTCCAGTAGCTCTTGGGCTCAAGCATTGCTGCATTGAGCTGGACCAACAGAAGTCAGCCCCTAAGGGGACTTTGGACCATAGGCCCTGCCCCTCCAACCCTTGCTCCCCAAGAAGCCATGCCACTCCACCAGCCAAGATCAGACTGTAGAGATGCTGTGACAGTCACCTCTGGGAACCCTGAATACCAAGATCCCATGGGGATGGTAGCACCATGCAGATCCCCTCAGCCCGAGGGCAGGCTGCTCAGGAAACCTCACCTCTATCCCTTTACCTCTGACCATCAAGGACTGCTTAAGTAGACACAGTTACCATGTCCTCTCTCCCAAGAAGTATAACAATCTTCACAGGAGTGTTTTCGAGGCTTTAGCCTGAGTAAGCCTGAGCCTCTGGCTGTTCAGAAATATGTCTGTATCCTGTATGATGCCTGGGCACAGTGTCCCAGGGAACCCCAGTGTCACAGACATGAAACAGAAGGGTGTTAAATGCTGTTGGCAGTGTTTGGAAATAGACACGAATAGCACAGTGCCAGAGCAGATGGCTGTCTAGTGTTTAGTCGGTAACACTAGAGCAGCCAAAGCTGACAGCCTGTGTGCTCAGTCCCTTTCAGGTGAGCCCTACTCTGAGGACACCACCTCTCTGGAGCCCAAGGGCCTGGAGGAAACTAGTGCAGGGGCTTCGGGGTGTCACCCCAGTCCTGAAGAGCAGCCATATAGCCCTTTACCCTCTGGAGAAGATGCTGACGCTGAGCTGCAGTCGCCTGCAGCATCCTGCACGAGGGCCCTTGGGACTAGAGCTATGCCTGGTAGGTACTCCAGCTGATCTCTTTCAGAGATTCCGGGAGGGGGCATTGAAGAATGGAGGCATCCCTAAGAAGCAAGCGCCTTCCCCAGTTTACATAGACAGATTGATTCTTTTAGTGTAACTGTCGTTCAGCAAACTCCAGAGACCCTTTCCTCCCTGGGCTCAGTGCTTCCCTGTGATACCTAGAACTATCAGAAAAGAGGGTAAGCTATCCTCTCTGGTATAGGGTAGAGACGTGTAAATTTTCCTCAAAAGGTCTATGGTACCACCGAGTCCAAAGTTCCACCGGAAGATCAGTAGAGCAGGTCCCACCTAGGGACCTACAGCTACTCATCAGGAGGCAAGGAGCAAGAGAAGGAAACTGGTTCCATTAGATTTTATTAGAAATTTCAGCTTCCAAGTGAGATCCCCAAGCCTGTGCCCAAGGGGGCTGGTGTGCTGGGTTTAGCAGTTAAATTGGGCAAAGATTAAATTAGCGTAAATGAGACAACACATGGGTAGCTGCTTCAGGGAGACCTGTCCACTCCTCGTTGGTTTTCAGAGACTAACCTCATGTTCTCTGCAGTGATTAGGGTCTTGGGGACTTTGGATAGAGGTGGGGCTCCATTTGTTCCCAAAACTAACAGTAAATAACCCAGCCCAGAGATAAGACTTGTTATTCTCTCCCCTGATGCCACCGCCCTGGAACACATGCAGGAGGCAAGCAATGCCAAGCAAAGGTTCTTACATTGAGGAAGTCTCAAGATTGGAACCTAGGCTTCGGCGGCCAGTGATTCTCACACAGGGCGTTCCACACAGCAGCTCCTAGATGGGGAGTGGTGGGTGTTATGGCGGTGAAGGTAAAGTAAGGTGTGTCAGAGTGTGGCCAGCTCTTCTCTGGATGGAGCAGGGATGTGATGTTAGAGAGTGCCACCAGGTCAAATGGCTTCTCTGTCCCTCATCATCCTTGCTAGGATGGCCAGCCATTTCTAGCTCACCCCAACGTTGTAGGGACTAAATGAGATGGTCACATCTGTTGACAAATGTGACCAACTTAGCATCTTAAAACAATATCCAACTCATAGGGAGTCAGAGTATAGGCTGGGCTTGGGGTATCTTTGGCAGAGGGTCTCCCAGGCTGTGTTGGAAGGGGTGCAATGTTACTCAGGCAGTTTCTGAGTAAGATTTATAATGCAGTGTGGGACCTGCTGAGCACCAGACACAGGGCATGGCATGTGCCCTGAACTTTCTAGAGGTGGGGTGTGTCACTGCGTATATCTTTCCTGGTCTCTCTGTTGTTGCATGAGGTACCATTTGGGCCAAGCAGAGGTGGTGGGTAATTGTGGGTGACGGTACAGTATGATGGGGTTCCCTCCCCCTAGGGCTCAGAATAGTCATTCAAGCCACTCTGTGGGAGACTCTCACCCATAAGACTCTGTGGATGAGAAACAGCCCTCAGTGGCCACACAGGTGTGTGGAAAGGGTTTGGAAAGCTGCCTCCATTGGTGGGAATGTCATGCCAGGGCCCCATGCCCTACACATGTGTGGAATCTGGCCATGTTTGCAATTTAGACTTTAGGATTATATTATACCTGCCTGTTTTCAACTTCTCAAGCCCTATGCCACTGCCCCACCCAGGGTGGCAGGGACTTCTTTCCTGGAGGTGTGTGGTGTGGGATCCATGCTCCTGTGACCACCCACACCCTAATGGAGCATGGCTATGGCTAACTTTGCTCCCCTGGGGAAAACATGTTCCTGGACTCTTGCCTCTTCACTTCAATTCAAACCCCATCTTTCTCCAAAGGGATAGATGATATCAAGGGCAAGCATCTGCCCTCACAGTACCTGGCTGATGTGGACACCTCTGATGAAGACAGTATCCAGGGTCCCAGGGCAACTTCCCAGCATACCAAGCGGAGGGCCCGGACTGGGCCTGAGACTCAGGTAATGAGGTTTGGGAGAATTCTATCTTTGTGCTTCTCTGGATGGATTTTTTTTCTCTCTCTCTTTCTCACCAAGTCAGTTTAGAGAAATTGAAGCTTTCAACATTTTTAGACGTAAAGTTGCCTATAGCACAGGGATGTGTCAATATATATATATACTTTACTGGAATGAATTTGTATAACATAAAGTTGACTGCTTAAATATGGCAGTTCTTCATGATGGTAAGAGATGGGGAGGAAAAAGAAAAGAAAAGAGCCATGCTTGTGGCTGATCGGACGGCTTGAGAGACGGTCGAAGGGGCTCAAGCTCAAAGCTGGCTGAGGCTTCATATCCAGAATCTGTCTCTAAGAAGAAAGTTAAAATATAGTAACCACCTGGTTCTTCTGTGGTAATATACAGAATGGTAATGAGTTTTGATTATATGCTCACCAAGATTGAAAGCAGAGCTTCCAAGAGACGGCCCTACAATCTGGGCTGTTATAGCCAGAGAACTTCACATGCTCAGTCTTTAAGACAAGAGATAGAGTTCCAAAATTTTTAATTAGTTAACTAATAAATAAATTGAGAGAGAGAGGGAGAGAGACAGAGAGAGAGAGAGAGAGAGAGAGAGAGAGAGAGAGAGAGAGAGAGAGAGAGAGAGAGATTTCCATGATCTGACAAGGAACAAGGTACAAGGTTTGGGCCACACTCCACTGTCTCCTGCCTGCAGGGGATGGTGACATTTGTATTGGAAAGGGATGGATCCAGAGTTCAGAGCCTGGACAGGACTTGATTAACCTGCCATGATAGTTTACATACATATGAAATGGATAGAGGAATTCTGAAGTGAGAGACTGGGAAAAAAATCCCACCCCAGGTTTCAAGCATGCCGGGTGAGCTCTCAAAAACTGAGTCACACACAATCCAGCCCTTGGATTTATGAGACAGGCTCTCCCCATGTAGTTCAGTCTGGTCTGAAGCTTGCTGTCCCCCTGCCTCAGCCTCTCAAGTCAGGGGACACAGTATCCCTGCCATACCCAGGTCTTTTATTTTCCACAGGGAAAATGAGGTTACTCATCTTCCTCCTGTGTTTGCCTCCATCTTGGCAAACATGGGGGCTCCAGCCCTCCTTGAAACTGTGGTCCCTTGGGAGACCCTTTGTGCTGTGAGTTTGTCTGCAAGCTACCAGAGGCTCCAACCTCCAGACACCAGACAGAAGCTGGAGTTGACTGTGCTCCTTGTACATCTCACTTGCCTGGTGGTCCTCACTTCTCCACAGGGCCTAGCTGCAGCCAGGGCCTCATCAGAAAGCCATATGGAGCCCTAAGCCAACAGCCCAGTTTATTATTTTACTGGTCCCTCCCAGGCTCTGCCTTCCTCTTCAGCCCAGCTTCCCAGCCTCCTTAGCAGCTTCCCTTCTTGTTCACTCCATGTGGGGCTCACAATGATAGTATTGGCACTGGGCAGGAGATGGCTTTTCCTCTCTCTGAGCCCCCACCTCTACCTCATAGGAGAGTAGACAAAGCCACGTGCTGAGCAACCTACTGAGACTATCAATCAGTGCCACCACATCCATCCAACCACAAATGAGCCAGGCCGTATGAACCCCGAGTCACAGCTGTCCACAGAGGGCAAGCAGAGGCAGAGGGCTCAAAGACACCCATGTTGACATTTCCAGCGTGCCCGTCTTCCTTCACTCCAAGTTCTCGGTGCTGTGGTAATTACCCACCAACAATGGCAGCTTCCCGCCCCTTCCCACCCCATAAGTGTCATTTCCCTCTCATAAGGCCAGGCGAGCGGTAAATGAGATAATGTATGACTGAGAGGCCGCCTTTGAGGAGGCCTAGCAAAGAGGAATCGATTTTTCTGCCTCTGTCTGGGAGCTAATAGACTGGCTGACTCAAAAGTCTGGTGACTCAAAGAATTAGAAAGTTACGCTTTGGGTCACAAGTGACCCAGGGCTCTTGCTACCTAATGACTTTGGTCACTGTGCCCTGCTTAACGAACATCTTCCTGTGCATTAAGTAACCAGGAGCCATCCAATGACAGGCACGGTCAGGACTTTCTGCTACCTTGTCTGGCTGAGTTTCTCACCTCTCCTACATGGTCCTCCCCATCACCCAACCCTCACTTGACCTCCCCTTGGTATCAGAAAGAGGTTAACAGTTAACCTCCAGAGCCCTGTCATAGGTAACAGCCTTAGCTGGACTTGGGACTTCAGGGGAAGAAGACACCTATGAGGTCCACAACTATAACCAGAGGACCACTGCTCTTCCTCTGCCACAGATCTTGGAGTTGAACAAGCGAATGTCAGCCGTGGAGCACCTGCTGGTCCATCTGGAGAATGCGGTTCTGCCGCCCTCAGCCCAGGTAATCCCCTGGGCTAAGTGAGATCAGCCCATAGCCTTCCATCAAGGGAGGCTGAAGTCCCCACTATGGCCTCAAGGGAAGAGTCTGAGAGATCTTGCAGCTGGTTGGTGCATGGTGCTCCAAGGATGGGTAGATGAGGTCTCCTGCATAGCCCACCCACATAAAGCCGCCCATGGCCAATAACAAGGTGACACAGTGTGGTCACTTATGGGTAGATGTCCCATAAACTGCTGTGAGATGAATCCTCAGCCAGATGGTGCTGAAACTGGACCAGCAGCCCCAACCTGCACTACCTCACTGAAGACATTCCTGACTCTTAATCCTCTTCCCCATCCCTAAGGCAAGTGCAGCCCAGGACAAATGAGCAGCAGCCGGGCGCTAGTGGTCACATCGTTCTTGTTAGTTAGTGGTCACATCGTTCTTGGAAGTTCCTTTCCAGCCCTTCATGATCCAACTTCATTTAAAGTCATAACACCACTTACAGGTTTTGTGCCTCAAGTACATCATGTTGGAGAGTGGCTTCAGGCATCCAAGAAATAGCAGCTGTCTGGTGTCCAAAGCCCACCTGAGATATGTATGTGGGCTTTCTTGGACTTTTTTTTTTTACCAGCCAAAGCAAATAGCTATTCTGAGTCCTTTAAATATCTCATCTAAGGGAAAGAGATGGGTTCCCACTCAGTCTGCCTCCCTTGATCTGAACTCAAGAAGACTGGCCACAAACCATGATACCACTGAGTCACCACACGCTGCTGCCTTCTCTTTCCTCCATCAGCAATGTTCTGCAACTTGCTGCTGGCCTGCTGAGGAAAAGTGACATGAGGATACAGTGTGACACCTCAACCTTGTCCCTGGACTCATAATAACTCCTCGTTGTTATGTGAGTCCAGAACAAACGCCAAGGGGACACAGAATTTCTAGGTAGAGCTGAGATAACACTGCTGTGGCCCACCTCAGTCTCACAAAGGAGAACTCAGAGAACCAGAGACCCTTTTCCTCAGCCCCCTGAGCCCCAGCCAAATGCCCAGGGATACAAACATAGGACCAGAGCTGGGACACACATGGAAGAGGTCGTGGGCTCAGTGGGGGTGGAGGGTGGCAGAGGGAGGAGATGCCCTCCACCTCTGAGCACTTCCCCCAAAGAAAGCTCAGTGTCTTGTTCAAACCGTGTGATCTGATGGGTCATCCATAAAAAGAAAGATGTTCTGCCCAGTACTACAACATGGCTCAACCTGGAGAACTTAGACTGAGTGAAGTCAGCCGCCCACAGAGAGCAGACCATCTGATGCTATTCACATAAGGATCCCAGGAAGAACAGATTCACTGAGACAGAAAGGAGAGGGGTAGATGCCGAGGACTCGGGGGAGGATGGGGAGTGAGTGTTCACTGGGGATAGAGTCTCAGTATAGCATGAAGAGAAAGTCCCATGGGAGAGGATTGCGCTGGATGCATAAGAAACTGAGCTGTATACCTTAAAATAATGAAGATAATTTTTTTGTGTTTTTTTTTTTTGAGACAGGGTTTCTCTGTATAGCCCTGGCTGTCCTGGAACTCACTCTGTAGACCAGGCTGGCCTCAAACTCAGAAATCTGCCTGCCTCTGCCTCCCAAGTGCTGGGACTAAAGGCATGTGCCACCACTGCCCAGCGAAGATAAATCTTATATGCACATTTTACCCCAGTGAACATTTTTGGGGGTGGAGAACCAGGACAAGGGGTAGGTCTTACATGGGCACCAGTGCTGGAGTCCTCTCAAGCTGGCTTACCTCCCAAGGCTGCTTCTAAGCCCTCCCTCACCCATCAGGAACCAGCTGTGGAGACACACCCCAGTGCCGACACAGAGGAGGAGACACTCAGGAGGAGGCTGGAGGAGCTGACCAGCAATATCAGTGGTTCTGGGACCTCATCAGAAGATGAGACCAAGCCAGCTGGCACCTTCCTTGGAGTGTCCCCAAAGGTGAGGCCTCCCTTCCGGTCCCAGGCAAAGCACAGGGCAAGAGGGACAACCCCAGGGAGCCATCTGCCCTTGCAGGGAGGGCAACTCATTAGCTGAAGGATTTGGAGGTGGAGCTTGCTAAGAGCACACAGGTAAAGAGGTTGAAGACCAGCCACAGGAGTTCAACAGTTCTGCGGCAGCATGTGACCTACTTCATGGATGACCTTCCTGTCCTTAGGTGTGCACAGACACAGGGCACATGGAGACACAGGAAAGGAGCCCTCAGAGCCCTGGGGACCCTGCTCGGCCTACAAAAAGCACAGATGAGGAGCTATCTGAGATGGAGGATAGAGTGGCCATGACAGCATCTGAAGTTCAGCAAGCTGAGAGTGAGGTAGCCCACCCCACCCTTGTGGAATTTCTCCAATGGCAATGTCCTGGTGATGGGACCCAGTCGGAGGCCTGACAACCCAACAGCCCACCTATAGGCTCACAGAGCCCTCCCTGACAGCCAGGAGGGGAGCAAAGTACAAGTGTGGGGGTTCTTCCCACCTCTCCACTCCCCTTAGTGACAGTTGTGGGGAGGACACTGTGAAGAGAAACTAACACTGAAGTTCTGTGGCAGTGGTTCTCAGCCTGCCTAATGCTGTGGCCCTTTAATACAGTTCCCGATGTTGTGGTGACCCCCAACCATAAAGTGTTTTCATTGCTACTTCACAGCTGTAATTTTGCTACTGTTATGAACTGTAAAGTAAATATCTGTGGTTTTGCGTGGTCTTAGATTCTCAACCTGTGGGTCACAACCCCAAAGGGTTACTTACGGGATGGGAGTCCAGGCAGAGAGAACAGATCAAACAAAGGCACTGGGGTAGAGTCCAGCTTAGCAAGCTCATGGATTGACCATAAAACCCCAGAATGCAAACAGAGTGATGGAGAAGTGAAGAAAAGGAAGGTTCCAGAAGAAGATGGATGGAGAGCCCTGAGGAGCACAGAAATAGACTGAGGAGAGTGATTAATGATGCCATTCAGTTGGGACAGCCTGTGCTTAGCATGTGCAAGACCCAGTTCCATGATAAAATGAAATGGAAGAGAAGGAGGAGGCAATTAACTTGGTTTCCACATCTAAAAGCTTTCTCTGGCTTTTGTGGGAAGAGTGGCCAAGGAGGAGAGAACAGGCCAAGGATGGCTTTGGGAGTGGCAGGAGGGAGTGGCCAGGTCAGGAATAATCCCAGCTGACCTCCACATACACATCATCCTACATGTGGGAGCCAGACTTCCAGCTGTGCCTCCAGAAGTGACCAGCGCCCTGAGACATCCAGAGAGACTCTGACAACCAGGGAGGAAGGCAGAGGGAACCCCAGGGCCAGGCTGTGGTTGGGATTCTAAGCTGGTGATCTTTATGATCTGAGATGGGAAGCTGGATGACGTCTGTCTGTCTACCTGTCTTCCGTCAACTGTCTTTCCCAGGTCTCAGACATTGAGTCCAGAATTGCAGCTCTGAGGGCAGCAGGACTCACAGTGAAGCCCTCGGGAAAGCCTCGGAGAAAGTCAGGCATCCCGGTGAGCTGAGTGGAGGAATGGAGCATCAAGTTTGTGGGCCCCAAGGACCTCCTCAGTAGCCCACAGTGCCCCTCAAGACCTCCCAGGAACCCAGAGAGGAAAAGCCCTGATTTTCTTGATGCTGTGAATCATGTTTGCCAGAGCCAGTTGGTGAGATGGACCCCTGCAGGAGCTCTTAAATCATTTATTACTTTGAAATAGTAATAATAGTAATAATAATATAATAATAATAATAATAAACTCCTTATAGGCTGGGAAGATAGGAAGTCTATAAACTGCCTGACACACAAACATGATAGCAAACAAAAATTTAATCCCCAGAATTTATAAAAACAGAAAGAATTAAAAAAAAGCCAGGCCTTGTGGTGCTGGTGCACACCGTAATCCCAATGCTGGGCAGGCAGAGACAGGAAGAACTCTGGGCTCCTTGGCCCAGCCCCCATCGTCTATTTGGATCTATTACAGTACAGTAAGAGACCCTCCATCAATCAATAAGTTAGTTGATTAATTAATTAAATGGTGGCTAGCATCTGAGGAGTGACACCCAAGGTTGTTCTCTGGCCTATACACATACTGCACGCATGCCCATTCATACACATAGCGCACGCATGCCCATGCATACACATAGCGCACGCATGCCCATTCATACACATAGCGCACGCGTGCCCATGCATACTCATAGCGCACGCGTGCCCATTCATACTCATAGCGCACGCGTGCCCATTCATACACATAGCGCACGCGTGCCCATTCATACACATAGCGCACGCGTGCCCATTCATACACATAGCGCACGCGTGCCCATTCATACACATAGCGCACGCGTGCCCATTCATACACATAGCGCACGCGTGCCCATTCATACACATAGC